TGCGTGTGTGTGTGTGTGTGCCTGTGTGTGTGTGTATACACGTGGTGAAACACCAAACCAATGTGCCAGAATCTGGGCTATAAAGATGTATCTAATCTTATCTTATCTTATCTTATCTTATCTTAAATGTAGACACTTTTTGAGTTGTTTTCCTCGTCGTCATCGTTGCCATTGCTGTTGTTTTTATTGATATTGTCACTGTTACTGTTGCTGTGGTTGTTGTTGCTGTTGTTGTTGCTGTCGTTGTTGTTGTTGTTGTTATTGTTGTTTCTGAAGAAAACATTAAATCTGTAGTTCTAAAATCCCCTAACAAGCATTGTAATCTCGACCCTGTCATTAGTTCTCTGTTGTCTTCCTGCATTGACAAATTGGTCCAATTTATTACTAAAAGAATAAATAATGTGTGTATCAGTACTAGATTTGTTTAAAATTGCTCTTGTAAAACCTTTGCTAAAGAAACAAAACTTAGATCAGAATGTCTTAAAGAACCATCGATCTCTTTCAAATCTAACTTTTCTGTCTAAAATCCTTGAAAAGGTTGTCCTCGAGCAGCTTCGTCGTCACTTACAAGAAAACAACCTGTTAGAGCCATTCCAGTCTGCCTATCGAGCTAACCACAGTACAGAAACAGCACTTTTTAAAGTCATGAATAACATGCTTACTGACTGTGGTTCAGGAAAAATTGTTTTGCTGAGCCTTTTAGATCTGTCAGCAGCTTTTGATACAATTGACCATCATATTTTATTGAAGCGATTGGAAGTGTCTTTTGTAATATCCGAGACTGCTCTTAGCTGGTTTTGTTCTTACAACAATGCAGCGCTGGGGACTGCACAGTCCCCGAACAAACAGCGCTTGAACAGTCCCCTAACAACTTCCTTTTGATTAAGCTCGATTAACCCTACAAACTAAGACTAAAATTATTGCTTTCTTCTTTTGGCGTTTTGCCCCCAACCCCCCCACCCCCCTTCCCCCAAAATCAACCCAGTTTAAATCATTTTGGGGGCGGGCTTTGTCCCTGTCTGCCAGGGCAGACTCGGCTTGAGAGAGACACGATGTCCTTGCAGAAATACCGAGATACGGGATGAAAACTCTCCCCATTTGGGAATCAAATTCAGGTCTTCCGCGTGTTGTACTCGACTTTGATCATTTGTGGGGAAGGCTGCTTTGGTCCAGACGCACGTTTGACTAGGACAGAGAATGATACAGCACCCAAGTAGGCAGACAGGGATTTATGTACAAGATTTGTTTTTTAAAAAAAAAAATTAATCCAGTAAGATAGATTCCACACAATAAATTTATTAAATATATACATACTTTATCTCAGCTTGATGTGCAAAAGAAGATTTTGCGCAGTTTCAATTTTGTACAAAGAATTCTGAAAGCTGCCCTGACGATTAAAGAAAAGGCAAACAAGAAAAGGTGATGATAGTCCAAGTATTACAGAAATTCAGTTTTTCGAATTCTTGAACTGTTCTTTAAACAGACAGAAAAACATATTGGCAGTTCAGTCAGTGTATACATTTATTTGATACGAGTTCTAAAGGCTCAACAACGTGGGGTTGGAGATCAGTCAAGAAAACGTTCTAAAAAGTCAACATGATATCGAATCTAAGTCACGATGGGGTTGGAGCACAGTCAAGATAGGAGTTCTAAAAGGTCGGTCAATAACAATGGGTGGAGCTAAGTCAAGATATGAGTTCTAAAAGGTCAATAACAAGGGGTGGAAAAAGTCAAGATATGAGTTCTAAAAGGTCAATAACAAGGGGTGGAGAAAGTCAAGATATGAGTTCTAAAAGGTCAATAACAAGGGGTGAAGCAAATTCAAGATATGAGTCTAAAAGGTCAATATCAAGGGGTTGGAGCTAAGTGAAGATGGGGTTAGAGCTAATTCAAGATAATGAGTTCTACAGAGTCATTAACGTGGGGTTGGAGCTGAGTTGAGATACAGGTTCTAAAGGGGCAACAATGTAGGGTTGGAGCTAAGTAAAGATGCAAGTTCTAAACCGTCACTGTTATAGAGATCGTGGATATTATAGACACAGACTTCAAATGTTTCAATTGAAGAAGTGCAGACATACCATGTCGTCTTGTGAACACAACTCTAGACGCTTTACATGAATGCATCAACGAACAGTATTCATACAGATGCACACGCACAAGCGCGCGCGCACACACACACACACACAGACAAACACACACACACACACACACACACACACACACATAAGCACACACAAATACGCC